TCTATCACTCCCTTTTTATAATAAGTTATGAGGAAGATTTCCACATAGGAGAAACTTATTTCCAAGTAATAGAAAAGTGTTATAGGCAGTATATATCAATGTGTCTATGGCTTAGAGGGTTTTAGTAGAAGAAAAAGGCTAACTGGAAGCTGTTACAGGGCAGAATAGTGTCTGATACTTACCTGAGAAGTTCCTAGTCTGGCTGACATGTTGAAGAGGTATTTGGTGTGGATTATCTGGATTGCAATACCCAAGCCTACTGCCGTCGTATTGATTTTGACTTATAGCAACCCTATACAACAGAGTAAAACTGCCCCCATCGGGTTTCTAAGGCTGTAAATCTTCACAGAATCAGATTGCTACATCTTTCTCCCACGGAGCAGCTGGTCGATTCGAACCACCGACCTTTTGGTTAGCAGCTGAGTGTTTTAACCATTGTGCTAGCAGGGCACCTTCTGGGTCGTATTAGAAAATGTAATTTGTAAAAATGGAATATAAATGAATTATTGGTGGGAAACAAATTGTGTTGTATATATTGTCAGTTACAAGTGTGGCAATAAGATTGTTGTTGCCATAGAGCTGATTCTGACTTATGGTGACCTTATGTGTGCAGAGTAGGACTGCTCCATAGGGTTTTCAAGGCTGTGACCTTTCAGAAGCAGATCACCAGGGCTGTCTTCCGAACTGCCTTTCAGCTAGCAGTCAAGTGCTTACCTGTTTCTGCCATGCAGGGACTCCAGCAATAGGATACTGTCCGTCATGAGAGAAGGCAGAACAGTCCAGGCAGCCCACTTACGGCTACTCTAACAGAAAACTTTCTCTCTTCAGCAGAACTGAAGCGAGAACTCTACCCCTGCTCCTCCTGCCTTCTGGCTGTCTCCTGTCAGCAGTTCCTCAGCCAACATGTGCTTCAGATCTTCCCAGGCTTACGTGCAGAAAATCACTTCCATCCAGAGGATTCCAGCCCAGGGCGTCAGAAGCAGCCAGAGCAGCGAGATTGTGATCAAAGGTGCTGGAGTGAAAACACAGAAGGTCAAGAGAGAGAAGTCTCCAAACCCTTGTGTGGAAGGACAGGGGAGAGAGAGACTTCAAGGGCATTCTCCAGCCCAGCCCAAGGACGGTCAGCAAGCCCCAGAGAAGGTAACACAGTGGTAGGAACAGGGCCCAACTCAGCCCAAAGGGGAAACTCTGTGGAAACAGACGATGGGTTGAAGGAGTTAGAAACCTCAAGATTTGGAGCAGTCGGCTATAGAGAGGATGAACCAGACTGTGGCCTGAAATCAAAGTTCATCACAAACCAGAAGGCCCTCTTACGGAAGAAGCCCTATGTTTGTAGTGAGTGTGGGCAAGGCTTTTGTCACAAGTCAAATCTCATCAGACACCAGAGGACACACTCAGGTGAGAAACCTTACATGTGCTTGAAGTGTGGGCGAGGCTTTAACCAGAAGTCAGACCTCATCAGACATCAGAGGGCACACTTGGATGAGAAGCCTTATGTCTGCAGTGAGTGTGGCCGAGGCTTTAACCAGAAATCACTTCTCCTTATGCACCAGAGGACACACTCAGGGGAAAAGCCTTATGTTTGCAACGAGTGTGGCCGAAGCTTTAACCGGAAATCACGTCTCCTTATACACCAGAGGACGCACTCAGGGGAGAAGCCTTATGTTTGCAGTGAGTGTGGGCGAGGCTTTACCCAGAAATCAGTCCTCCTCATGCACCAGAGGATACACTCAGGGGAGAAGCCATATGTGTGCAAGGAGTGTGGGCGAGGCTTTAACCGCAAATCAAATCTCATCAGACACCAGAGGACACACACAGGTGAGAAACCTTACGTGTGCCTGGAGTGTGGGCGAGGCTTTAGCCAGAAGTCAGGCCTCCTTCTCCACCAGGGGACACACTCCGGGGAGAAACCATATGTGTGCAAGGAGTGTGGGCGAGGCTTTAGCTATAAGCAAAGCCTCATTAGACATCAGTGGACTCACTCAGGGGAGAAGCCCTATGTTTGCAGTGAGTGTGGCCGAGGCTTTAGAGATAAGTCCACCTTCATCCTACACCAGAGGACGCACTCAGGGGAGAAGCCTTACATGCACCTGGAGTGTAGGCAAGATTTTAGCCAGAAGTCAGACCTCATCAGACATCAGAAGACACGCTCAGATGAGAAGTCTTATGTTTGCAATGAGTGTGGCAGAGGCTTCTTCCGGAAATCAGTCCTTTTTATGCACCAGAGGACACACACGGGGGAGAAGCCACATGTGTGCAAGGAGTGTGGACGAGGTTTTAGCTATAAGCAAAGCCTCATTAGACATCGATGGACTCACTCAGGAGAGAAGCCCTATGTTTGCAATGAGTGTGGCCGAGGCTTTAGCCAGAAGTCAGACCTCCTCCGACATCAGAGGACACGCTCAGATGAGAAGCCTTATATTTGCAGTGAGTGTGGGCAAGGCTTTAACCGGGAATCAAGCCGCCTCATACACCAAAAGATACACTCAGGAGAGAAGCTGTGTGTGTGCAAGGAGTGTGGTCGAGGCTTTAACCGCAAGTCAAATCTCATCAGACACCAGAGGACACACTCAGGTGAGAAACCTTACGTGTGCCTGGAGTGTGGGCTAGGCTTTAGCCAGAAGTCAGGCCTCCTCCTCCACCAGGGGACACGCTCAGGGGAGAAGCCTTATGTGCACCTGGAGTGTGAGCGAGGCTTTTGCAAGAAGTCAGGACTCGTCAGACATCAGAGGACACCCTCAGACAAGAAGTCTTATGTTTGCAGTGAGTGTGGCCAGGGCTTTAGCGGGAAATCAGCCCTCCTTACGCACCAGCGGATACACACAGGGGAGAAGGCTTATGTTTGCAGTGAATGTGGGCGAGTCTTTAACCAGGAATCAAGCCTCCTCATACACCAGAGGATACACCTAGGGGAGAAGCCATATGTGTGCAAGGAGTGTGGTCGAGGCTTTAACCGCATGTCAAATCTCATAAGACACCAGAGGACACACTCAGGTGAGAAACCTTACGTATGCCTGGAGTGTGAGCGAGGCTTTAGCCAGAAGTCAGGCCTCCTCCTCCACCAGGGGACACACTCAGGAGAGAAGCCACATGTGTGCAAGGAGTGTGGACGAGGCTTTAGCTCTAAGCAAAGCCTCATTAGACATCAGTGGACTCACTCAGGGGAGAAGCCCTGTGTTTGCAAAGACTGTGGCCGAGGTTTTAGCTAGAAGTCAGATCTCATCAGACATCAGAAGACACGCTTAGATGAGAAGTCTTATGTTTGCAGTTAGTGTGGCCAGTGCTTTAACTGTAAATCACACCTCCTCAGGAACAGATTACTCAGTTAGCACCCCCTGCCTGTACAGAGAGACAGGACTCCAAGCTTCTGCTCTAAAATCAACAAGACAGACCTCCCCAGGGTTCTGTTCAGAGCATGCCAGTACCTCCCCTACCTGGATGCTGTCAACAGTAAGGTTGCTGCAAATTGCTGCAGAAAGAGCCCTGCAACAGAGTGGGCTCCCAGAATCAACACTCTACCTGCCTCCCTGTGCACCCCATAGCTCAGGCTGCTGTAACCAACAGGACAGACCTCCCTGGTGATCAGTTTGGGTCTGTCTGCTCCCCCTTCTCTTTGGCACTGAGGAGTGCTGATTGAGGCACTGTGTGCTGGGAAGCAGCAATCTTGAGTAGAGGCTACACCCACAGCCATCATACTACACGGGGTGGGAAGGGGTGGGGAGGTCTGATAGTAACAGTGTGGACCTCTTTGGGAGTCCATTTGGAGCATGACTGCCCCTTCCCCATCTGAACTCTCATCAGCAAGGCTGGTGCGATTGCTACAGAAGGCACCCTGCAGTGGAGTCCACTCCCATAGTCAGCTCTCTACCTGCCTCCCTGCACATCCTGTAGCTCAGGACTCTGAAATCAACATGACAGTTCTCTCTGGACATTAATTCAGGTTAGTCTGCCACCAGGGACAGATTACCCAATAAACAAGGTAAGCACGTGATTAGGGCATCAATAAAACAGGGCACCAGTGATCCAAAGCAAAGACTCATAGGTGTCAAGCAGACAGGACACAAGGAAAAGTGAGTGCCACAGTGGAAGGGAACTGGCAGGGCACTAAATAAAATTGACATCATTTTATAAATTTTGTATATGATAATTACATTTTCATTTTGGACCAGTCGGATCTAACCTTACATTCAGTTCTCTTGTCGACCACGTAAGAACATGCCACTGACTCTGTGATCACATGACTGGTGACATATCTGGTCTTGCACAAAGTGAACTAAGACGTGTCTTCAGATTGAGCATACCTTTGTATTAGTATCATGCTCTTTGTGATTGCTCTTACCCCCACCGGGTATCAGCAGTAGTCCAGTAAACTGAAGATGCGGCATCAAAGGATGGAAAGTGAATGTGCAGGTTTTTAAGTATTATTTCAAGATGAAAAACACTCATGGAAATCTGTGAAGGGCCCACGAACAAACATCGTATGGCAAACAAATGCACTTATTTCCGACTGCCTTGTACGTACTGTATCTTTTAACTGCATCAGACCTGAAGAACAAAATTATGTATCCCAAATCAATTTTTTTACATACTAATTTTCAAATATGAATTTTTGTGTTAATGTCCAAATTTGAATGTAAATTTTATTTTATAGATTTTATTTTCAATTCAAATTTATTTGCTGCGGTAGAACTAAATTGGAAAAGTGACAATTTTATATCCAGGTAAAATGAAACAGCAACAACCAAGTGGAGCACAAAAATGAAAGTCACAGAAGATGAAAAGGATTTGTGAATCCCTAAAGACAATTCCAAAATTAACTTCCATTTTAAAATGTAGTGAATCAGGAGAGACTTCTTCCAGTGAACACTTGAGTTTAATAGGTGCAAATCATTGTACTAGTACCTCCAGTGCTGCAATTACTGATAGCAATATGAATATAACAGAATTTGTTCCAAATTCTATATCCTTTCCTTGCTGTAGTAAAAAATTAATAATGGTGTAGAAAATGAAACAATTTTAGAATCTGAAATTTCCACATCTGCAGACCAAATAAATAATAGAAATACAGATCCTGCTTTGTGGAATAATTTTTTTCC